GCCACTGCGCTTTATTTACTCCTAAGCTCGGCCTGGGGGTGATAAGATCTGCAAACACTTGCCTTCTACTCTTGAACCAGCAGCCACACAGCAGCAGAGGCTTCTTTTCCAATGAGCACCGCACTGATTCCTGTATAATTACACTCATTAGGGGACATCAGCCTGGACTTTACATAATCAGCACTGATGTTCTGGACACAAAGACAGTTTCAAAGACCTCAGGCCCGTTGTGTAGCTGCGGTGATGACAGTACAGTCGTGATGACRGTAATAACACTTTGATGATGCCAATTATACAAAATCCTTTGTGCAGCTCCCCCCCTCCCCATCTGTCTGTGTCACTTCCATCCCTAACCTGATCCCCCAAAGCTTTAGCCCACCTGCACTCAGAACTTTTTCAAATTTATTGCATTTCTTGACTTGTTTTCTTAATTGTTTTCTTTTTTTGGTAAATTATTGTGGTTCGATTGGTGGATTTTTTTGACGAGCCTGATTTTTTTTCTGTTTTGTTTGAACATATTTGCCAAGCTGCTTGCTGTTTGTTTACAAAATTCAAGGGCGATCTGTGATTGTGATGTGTGTGTTTGTGTGTGTGTGTGTGTGTGTGTCCCCTGGTGGTTAGTGCTAGATGCTGTTGCATGAACTTGTACAAAAATGGCTAAATTTGTTGGTCCTCTCACAGTTCATTGAAGGTGCACTTTATTTCTCATGAAAAGGGATTCAGCCGAAGGCAGCGAGCTTCTGCCTGTCTTTAGGATAAAGTAAACAAAAAATGTAAAAAGAAATGATTTGTTTGTTTTCTCAATAATGTGTTAAATTATATGAACAGATTTGTTGGTATCTTTAAAGATTCTAATAGCTTTGTGGTCATGTTTCAAAATAAGTGAAAGTAAGTCAGACACTATGACATCATTTTTCTTCTGTACATCTCATTCCGCAGTTTTTGTTCTATTTATGGATGCACCGATATGAAATATTTCAGTCTATTGATATCTGATATTATTATTTGTGTTATGGCCGATAATTGCAGATTTTACACAACTACACAAATTATTTCTATAAACGCACACTGTCTATTTTCGATACTGTAAAGAACTACCAGACCRCTGACATGGCTCTGCTTCAGTTATTCCTGTCTGCACAGATTCACCATCATGATCAAACAAATACCACCCGACCAACCAGCTCCCCTCCAAAAGTAGAAACACAAAGTTAAAAGCTGGGAAATCAATATCGGACATTATCGGCCCAATTTTACTCATCGGGCCGATAGATATTCTAAAAAATGACCAATATCAGTCGATACCAATATTAATGGTGATATATCCTGTTATCCTAGTTCTATTTCAACAGTTTCTGTGTCAAATTGTTCATCAGGATGTTCTGGCTATGACTTTTGGTACATCAGCAATTTATACGCTTTTTGAAATATTTAGCTTTTTCTGCCATGATTTTCTCATTGAAGCTAAATAGTTGTCTTCAACATCCTTAAACCCTTTAAAATGTCATAAATTTTCCCTGAACTTTTAAGTTTTGTTCCTGTTCTGGTTTTGTATCTCCTTTGWACTGATTTCAGCACCTTTTGGCTATTTTTCAGATTTTAGTTTTTTTAGATATCATTCTGGCCTTTTCTGCTTATCTTCTGCTGATTTCAGCTTCAGCTGCCTTTTGCTAGTTTCAGCTGTTTTTGTGTTTTTTAGCTACTTTTAGCTAATTTGAGCTTTGTGATATCTTCAACTTTTAATGCTTAATTCAGCAAACATGTTCTTTCTGGTTGTGTTTGTTGATTTCAACTATTTCACCTGCTTTTAAAAGCCATTTTTAGTCTACTTTCAGCTTTTTGGGCTGTTCAGCAAACATTGTTCAGCATTAAATATTCACTCTGCATTTTTGCTGGAAATTTATTTATTCGTTTTAAAGTATACTGATGTAGCATCTTCATTTACAACACTGCTGAACTAATTCAGCAGAAAAAACAGAACACAAAACGTGAAAATGCTGTTTTAAACAACAAATGTGTAAAATAAAAGCATTAAAATAAATTGTTTGATTATCAAGAACTACTATAAAAATGAAAAGTTCAGTCTTAAATTGCATTAAATAAACATTCGAACATGAAACTATTATTAACATCTACTGACTGAGTGGCTGAACATGAGCCTCTGCACTTACACATTACTCAGGCGGAAGAAAAAGTAGTTCCTTCCAACTGCATCAAATTTAGACAAGAATTCGATAGTTTAGTTATTTTCCACTGTGTTCCTGTTAATGACTCTCATTACCTGAAACAACTGAAGTACCAATATTGTGATTTTATTATTGATTCTAGAGCATGAAGTTCTGATATCTGTGGTATCAATATTTCAGTACTGATCTGCACATCACTATTCTGAATTTTAGGCTGAATGGTTGATAGAAATCTTGAAAAGATCTTTAAGACACAAGAGGAAATGCAACCCCAGGTTGATCAGATGGAYGGTAGWAAAAGAAWCATCWATAGRTGTTTCCTCATCAGAGAAATGTAGGATGCCTGCAGTGTTTGCTTTAGTCCAGCTGAAGGTCTAACCGTGAAAAACCAACACCTCCCCGCCCACCATAACCACAGTGAATGGGTGGGGGGCTTCTCAAAGGTGGGCCGGTGGTTAGAGCTGCTTTAAGCCATGGAAGTGTTGCAGAATTCCTGTGTGAGCTACAGACAAAATATCATAAATAGTTTTTTTTAATTGCATCGCTGCTATACTGGGCGCGCCCCGGTCTTTCAGCAACATCACGGCGCTGATTGATGGTTCCCATATGCTGAGGGAGGAGGTGTGGGGGTGTATCAGAACGTGAAAACAGCCGACGTAGCAAGACTAAAAGAGTATTTTCTCTTCCCCTCCACCCCCCCTCCTACCCCCCTCGCCCCTTGACAATCTTCTGTCCTGTCTNCTCCTACCCCCCTCGCCCCTTGACAATCTTCTGTCCTGTCTCAGCCTACAGAGCTCTGTGTGGACACAGCGGGGGTCCTTGTCTCACACAGCTCCTGCATCGAGCTGGAAAAGTCTTTAAAGTCTCTGTGAGCCGCGCSGAGCAGACGCCCTCACACAAACTCACAGATGAAAGCTGCAGGAGCCCTYCGGTCCCGGTGAGCCTCCATCCAGCAGGTGGACTCACAACTTCGGCACAGAAAAGTGACCTGACCCTTTCTACTCTGCTGCCGCCGAAGAAAGGGACAGCCAAGAAACGGGTTCAAAGAAGAACTCCGAGCATTCAGTTCTGCCTCGTGTTCAAAACATTCAACAACAACTAAAGCATGCATCTATTAGAACACCCAGGAGCGTGTGGCTTCAACTAAAGCTAAATCTGAGCTGAAATCTAAATATTTGCACTAACTGAAAGCTTAAATTTAGTTTTTCCCACAGTTTAAAAAAAAACTGGACCGATCCTGTTTCTGTTTATTATTGTTGCGCTAAAGTTACTTCCTGAACTCTTGTTTAGCAAAAGCTAAAACTGTCTTTTTACTACAAAAATAATCCATAACATCTGTTAAAGGTGTATAGTAGTAGTAGTAGTAATAATAATAAAAGTCAAGACTTTACATCATAAACACAGGTTGATTTGTGCAAAGCTTAATTTTTGTTGCAAACTGCATTCCTTCAAGGGAAGTCGTATCTTTAAATATGTTGCCATAAAATGTTTTGTGGGAATAAAACCCGTCGTGAAGGACGGAGCAAAGCTGTGGTGTATTTTCTACTTTGCAGGTTTTTGTTTTGGGGTTTTGTTCCTGCTGATTTGCTGCAGCTAGCTGCGTGGCTGGAGAGTGAGGAGGCTGCTTTAGTTACAGACTACAGAGGATTATTATTTTTTCTTTTACATTCAGTGCAATAGAACAGCATTACTAGAAGCTTTTGTGAAAACATCTGATGTAGACTCRTGAGTGCTCCCAGATTGGCCATGTGAATTGCAGCTTTCATGCAGGCTGCTTGCTCTAATGTGTTTTTGAGCACTGTGTACCTTCTGTGTGCGTGTTTGCGCATTTGTGTGTTTTTAGTTTTTTTTTTTAATGCATGTGGGTATAAAACCATTCGCAACACAGACTCTGCATTCTTCAGTTTGTGTATGCCCTATCTGTTAGGGGTTAAAGGTAAATAAATTGACAGAGGCAGAAAGCCAGTGGGTGCATTCCAGGAACGTTTTCCCAAAGACGACGTCTCAATCTTTTGCAGAGCTGCTATAGACCCACATTTTCACTCATTTATGGAGAACTAGCTCATGAAACAAACGGCTCCTCTTTCTGTCAATACTTAAAGAGCTGAGCAGATTTTTAATTGCTTTTATTCCCTGCCTTTTTTAAATTTTATTCATTTTAAACCATGTTTACTTACTAATATCCTAATTAATTTAGAAGCTCTACATTACTTATCCTGTGTGATCCAGACGCTGCTTGGCTGATGTCATCCACAGAGGATGCCCGGTTCCTGCTGCAGATGTTTGTTTTGTTTTTTGTTTTTTTTTGGCTGGCAGGAGTGTGCAGACAGTAAACAGACATGGAATCATCACTTCTGAAGCAGCTCTGCACAGGAGGCCTGTGTTCCTCAGAGAGCCTCGCAGCGGCACTCTGTCTCCCCCAAGTGGAGCCTGATTGCATCTTTATGTCACCTTCATTCATCAATGTTTGTGCATTAAATTGTTTATCCTGTGCAGCATTTGTCGGYGCACGACGAGCAGGTTCCTCTGTGTGCTTGCGTGAGGCACGAGCGGGGTCAAATTTCAGAAGCGTCTGAACAAAAGCTKCAGGAATGAAGAGTATTTTTGGCTCCGTGTCCTCTGGAGATATCAGGTTTTACAAGGGTGGCTTTGTGTGCTCAAAGAGATGGAGGAAAAAAGATCCCTCTATGTTCAGGATACAAGAACTGAAGTATCACTGGGTTCCACAAAACACATGAATCATATAAAAAAGTGTTTAATTTGGCCTTTTATTTATATTTATGGTCTCTAATATGTCGTCTTTTTCTGTCGCAGGTATGAAACGTCCTTTCAGCCTATCCTTTCCCCCCAATCCTGAGCAGGAGTCGGGCGGTGTCGGAACGGGGCCGGTGCAGCAAATGGATATCGAGTCTTGCTACGACGGCGCAGTACCAGAGGGCCGGTCACCGGGGGGCGCCCTGCATTCTTCCCTCCACAGACCCAAACGGGAGCGGAGGCAGCGCTCTTACACCCTGTGTGAGGTCTGCAACATCCAGCTGAACTCAGCGGCGCAGGCCCAGATCCACTACAACGGCAAATCCCACCAGAAGAGGCTGAAGAAGATCAGCCGCGGCAAAATGCCAAGCAGCGCAGGTAGGCCAGAGGCGACGCCCAGCTGCAACAACAAAAACTAAACCGGCAACRCAGAAGGCTCCACTCAGTCCTGGGTTTTATAGCTCATTAGGGTCAGACAGATTAATAGAAAACTCCAACACGCCGTGTCACTGGTCCTCCTCCGCCTGCGTGGCTTTAACACAAGTTCAACAAATTGGATTGTGTTTGCTGAAATGTGTTCAGACAGCTTTGGGCTGAAGAAATCCACCAACAGGCGAGTGGAGCAAAGCAAAGTCAGCAAGTGAGAAAGTAATTAAAAGCTGGTTGTGGGTCGTGTTTCTGGATTGAAGTTGGCCGTTTATTTATTTATTATTTATTTATTTTCATTCTTCTCRCAGATTAGTTTAAGGGGTCTGCTGCAGGTAATTAGTTCTTCTGTTCTTTTTGCCCCARCTACACTTTCCTGAGCTTTCTTCTCTGTCCTGCTAAAGAAACGGGAAAAAAAAATCATCACAAAATCAAACAGTTCGTTTGAAACTTCCACGTTGAACATGCAGGCTTTGAGTTCCCAAATGTAATAAGAATAAAATGTTTAGAAATTTGAAATACGTTGGAAACTGAAGCACTTGTGTAATTTACAACCAATAACAGGGAGAAGAGTTTGGTAAAGGTCACCGTTGTCCAAGACTTCTTATTTCCCTGTTGGTCGAGTTATTTATGTTGGTGATATCTGAGCTTCAAGAGTTTCCAAAAGAAAGTGTCTGGCTGTAGATCTGCACCTCAGTGGAATGGTGGGCCAAAGGATTTACGGTAAATTCCTGTGCTTGTGTGCTTTATTTATCCATCACCATCTGAAAGTGGTATTTTGTCAAAACAACATAATAATTCTCAAATTTAGTTGAATAATTTAATCTACAGGAATGTCTGTAAGCAAAACATCAAATCCTGAAAACACAGTTTTTGAGGCAGCAGTGGACTGATGCTCATCAGGGTATAGTTATTTGAAGGCTTATGATTAAACTGCAAAGTACCTAAATAAACAAAACACTAAACTAATTGTCTTTTCATGCGGTTGTACTAAACATTGTCTGTGTCCAAATTTAGGGGCTGCATCCTTCAAAGGCTGAATTTGTAGGCCGATTACATCACAGCGATGCACCRAAGCCTGTCCAAATTCCAAGCCTTCTCTAATTGCGGTCCACAAATGCGTCCTCCTTTTCCCCCAATTTGAGGGRCAGGTCCGGTGGATCCTTCTCRGGCATCGGCTCACTCTTTTCCAMGATGCGTTTGAGCCAACCGGGAGATTTTCTTTTTCTTGTAATAGTGGTCAAAGCTACAGTTTTAAATAAAAACCKTATGGTACAAAAATTAWTTAATATAATWATTGYCTCTAAGCTAATTTTGTTAATTTATAACATTAATATTTTGATCTATTTTGATCTTTGTTGCTTCTGCTTAGTTTTGTCAGAATAAAGCCTAAAGACTATAAAATGTTCAAATTCGCATCCACTTTCAGTCTCGTGGTCAACAAAGTACCCGGCCCAGGTAGACCAGGGTCCTTTGAAGGATGCAGCCTCTGAATCTGGACACAGCCTTCGGTCTTCAGACACAGATTTACTGTTTGACTATAATTTAAAAAAAAAAAAACGGTTCCAGAATGTCCAAATTGTATGATTTCTGCTACTTTTAGCTGCTAGCTAGCTTTTAGTTAGTTTTTGCTAATCATTTGGAGCTTTTTGCTATAAATTCTAATGCTGTTTGCTACTTTGATCCAGTGTTTTGCTTCTTTAGGTTTTCATCTTTTTAGCTTTTAGCTAGTGTTCTGCCTTTTTTGCTAGTATTCTGCTTCTTTTAACTAATGTTCTCCTTTTTTAGCTAGTATTCTGCTTCTGTTCTTAGTGTTCTGCTTTTTTAGCTAATGTTATGCCTTTTTAGCTAGTATTCTGCTTTTTTAGCTAATGTTATGCCTTTTTAGCTAGTATTCTGCTTTTTTAGCTAATGTTATGCCTTTTTAGCTAGTATTCTGCTTCTTTTAGCTAATGTTATGCCATTTTTGGCTAGTATTTTGCTTCTTTTAGCTAATGTTATGCCTTTTTAGCTAGTATTCTGCTTCTTTTAACTAATGTTATGCCTTTTTAGCTAGTATTCTGCTTCTTTTAGCTAATGTTATGCCTTTTTAGCTAGTATTCTGCTTCTTTTAGCTAATGTTCTCTTTTTAGCTAGTGTTCTGCTTCTTTTAGCTAATGTTCTCTTTTTAGCTAGTGTTCTACTTCGTTTAGCTAATGTTCTCTTTTTTAGCTAGTATTCTGCTTCTTTTAGCTAATGTTCTCTTTTTAGCTAGTATTTTGCTTCTTTTAGCTAATGTCCTCTTTTTAACCAGTATTCTGCTTCTTTTAGCTAATGTTCGCCTTTTTAGCTAGTGTTCTGCTTCTGTTCTTATTGTTCTGCTTTTTTTTAGCTTGTATTCTGCCTTTAGCTAGTGTCCTTTTTAGCTAGTGTCCTTTTTAGCTAGTGTTCTGCCCTTTTTTAGCTTGTCTTATACTTCTTTCAACTAGTCTTCTGCCTCTTTTAGTCTTTACTACATGGTTTCAGCTTCTTCGGCTAATTTCAGCAGTTATTTATTTAGCATTCACACTGCGTTTATACAGAAAATGCAGTTTCTGTAGTTTTCAGTGTTTGTGTACATCTTTTGACAGAGGAGTGTTTTGATTGATCGGCTTGTGTTTGTGCCTGCTGGACTTGGTTTTGTTCTGTGAGAGTGTGAAGATTCAGCAGATTAGCAGCCCTGCAACAAACTTTATTATTTTCTACAGAATAATAAATCCCAAACTTTGCTGTGCACTCAAGTCCTGTGTCTAAATTTCCTGTTTTGGTACACTGCTGCGGGGGCTGCAGAGTGCATATAAAAAGCTGTGTGTGTGTGTGTGTTTGTGTGCAGGGTGTGTATGAGGGCACGCTGCACTGTTGTGTTGTGCAGATTCTTTCTGACACGCAGTCACAATCATGCAGCCTTATCTCTGCTCACCTTCTGCTGACTCCCCCCGGCAGCCAGCTCTGCTGCGTCCTCATCTCCAGCACGGCTTCTCTGCTGTTTGTGTGTCCGTGGATGTATCCTGCTCGACTGTTTTTTTATCTTTTTTTTATTTTTTGGATATTTTTAGAATTCCTAAATGCTACAGAGTTTGTGGTTTGTGCTGCGGAGACAGAAATACTCGCTTCGCCGYATTCTTTATGTCAGCCCTCCATGCTGTATGTAAAGGAAGGCGTCTGGTGTGTTTGTTTACAAGGTTAAACACTGCATGAATTTAGAATAAATAAGGAAATATGAATTAGTTTGGGTGTGTGTGCTGCGCGCAGTGTGTTTGTGTTTCCCAGCAAATTGTTCCATGTCGGCGCATGTTTGCCTCCCTCTCTGCTTCACTGAGCTGACACTGGGTCCAGGCTCTTCTTCTTCTCTTCTCYCCTCCCTCTGGCATGGATGGCGGACATGTGGAGCAGCAATTCCTTCTGAAAGATGCATGTCTGTGTGATTAAGAGCTTCCCTTCAGCCGTCACGCGAACATGTTTAGAAGCTCACCAACAGATCTGCTTGGAGAAGCCGTCCAGATCTGCAGTGAAAAYGGAACCGAAGGTGCCAAATTTTCTCCTAACGGTTCATTATATTTAAAAAGTGTTATATGTATATATATGAACCTTTGGGACTTTTTGGTTTTCAAKATGCTGTGTTTCCTGTTCAGATCTCAACACGTGATTTTATTTTTGATAAAATCATTTTCCTGAGTAACCMCAGCAATTCCAAACAGAAACTCTATAAAACTGAAGCCATAATATTTATTAAACCTTTGAWAAAGTTGATATTCATATAAAAAAAYCAACCTAAAACCACCCAGGTGATCAGGTGCTGCAGAGTTTGTCGTGTTCACACTGTCTGCCTTCAGTCCAGATGCTGTTTTTACTCTGTAGCTCATTACTTTTCATTGCTGTGGAACATCTTGCACGACATTTTGCTCTCAGCACGATCCCCGTCTYAGTGACGCTCCGTTGCTTCCAAATCTGCAAACACAGGAGTGACGTGTTAAAATGTTATATTGCGCTTTTGCTTTGTTCTCGCACATGTAGACRTTTTGCAGGTTCATAACCAAAGATGGAACAAGCTAGCTGGTGTTGACAAACACCGAAATGATTCTAACTCACAGACAACGAGCAAAAATGAATCCAAAATGCACAATTTAGTGTTGCATGTTGGTGACAATCCTGTTTGTTTGTTGYGGGCCGACCGGGAGTTGTTTTTGCTTGTAATGGTGGAGGAAGTGAGAGGCGGAGTCAGACAGGAGGACRGCTTTAAGTAAAAAATCTGGCAGTGCTAAAATTTAAAGTTTTAAAGCAGTTGTGTTGTTAGGCTTCTGTCATTTGCATCATGTTTTTAATATTAATCTTGTGAGAAATCATCATGAATGATCTCTTGTATGACRGGTTATTTAAGGCCCWGTCACACAATGTCTGYGTCTCAACTCRGGGGCTGCATCCTCATGAGTGAGCATTTGTCGGCTGCATACGTCACCTCTCCGTGCCGAGTGCCGTCCCAATTCAAAGGCTCCTCCTCATGCGGCTCACAAAATCTTAAAAATCCCGAGGATATCAAACTAAACAGAGAAACGACGACAGTGGAGATTGTATTTCTTTAACGAGTCTGCGTAGTTTAGAAATTCATCACGGACCGAAGGATTTGTTTTTAAATGTAAAGTTTAGCAACTTAGCTGATGAAATTCCTGCTGCAATAAGATAAATAAAATGCAACTACAAGTACTGATGCTGGAGTTAAACTCTAATTATTAATGTTTTTTTATTTATTTATGTGTAATGTTTTAATCATGAAGATGTAAGAGTGAAAAGATGTCATGTCCCATCGTATTTTAAGTCGGATATGAAACCATTCACTATGCTAACAGGCGTAGCACGTGGTCACACAACATCCGTCAAGCGAAGTCTACTCTCATTTCACAGCAGTTTCATGCAGCCTACCCAGACTGGGAAGGACG